AATTGTTGAAGTGTATTATTGGAATAGGGTAATTGTCCTTCAACCTTAAAGGAATACTGAATGGTTTTTGCAGGATTGCGTGATCCATGCACGAGGGATGTTGCTCGACTTTCGGAAAGCATAAAAATACTCAAGCTGCAGTGGACTGTATTTTTACGCTTTCCGAAAGTCGAGCAACATCCCAAATGCATGGATCACGCTATCCTGCTTGGAAAACCATTCGGTAATTGTTTTATAAAATAACTACAGTGAAACAATGACATTTTGAAAATCCCGTGAAGGCATTTTAATTCCGGATAGGCTGATCCTGCACGCTATTGACCAATCAAATTGTATGTGTCACTGTAGTTATTATATAATGGCCATTCTTGTATTAATGCGTTTGTACACTATTTGTTTACTGTTTGTGTGTTTATATATGATTATGTGTTTATATGTATTTCTGTTAATTTTAGACTTATGAACAACGAAGTCATGTCAGGAATGAATATGAATGGCAATGGTGGTAAAGTTGCGTTTGGAAAGACAACTATCTTTCAACTTATCACTGGTACGTAATAATATACAGAGTATTATATTGTCCGGGTAATTGTCATGCTAATTCTTTCATTATGAATTTGTTTAGAAATGGCTTTGAAGAATCATAAAGGAACAGAGAGTGAGGTGGTTCAGATTTGTTCCAGACTGCTGAAATATGCACCAGACAGAAAAGGTGGCGGAGGGCGCAAAGAAAACTCTGCATGAACTGGGAAGAATGAACATATTGAACTGCTAGCTATGTATATATACATACTGTATTTTAGATACATTTTAATTGATGTGCGATGTTGTGCAGGGTAATCCACATTTAGTGTAATCCACATTTAGACCCCAGTTACACGATACCGTATTCGTATCGGAGCGACGTCAATTTAATGAGTTTTCCAGTCTTGTCTGCTCTTACAACTTTTCATATTTGAAGGTATTGTTGAAATATGTTATATTATCACAGTTTTAGGTGCCAAATTCACCTCGAAAGTCGAAAAGGTAAAATTTGATGTCGCTCCGATGCGAATCCGGTATCGTGTAACTGGGGTCTTAGGGGTTACTCAGTGTTGGAACGAAATTTTTGCATGATCATGCCTAAAGACCAGGTTCTGTTCAATGATACTGTTTTTGTGTCATTCTTTTTTGTGTCAAAGCGTACGTAGTTTACACCAGCGAAATTTCTTTGGCAAATGTGCCTTTGACAAACTTTTCTTGCCCATGTAATAAGGAAATATGTCGTAGAACATCGCGTATTTCCACGATCTGTACCTGAGTGTATTAAAAAAGGCATAAGCAAAGGAAATGCAATTAATCAAGAATGTGTTATTTTAACAATGAATATTTTTGGTCTATCGTGAGTTAAAATTACTGGTTAGTTCATCGAAGAAAAGTACATCAACTTAAGCACATAACGAAGTTAATTTTCAATAGCTCTGTACTCGTATTTGTTCATTTTGCTGAAAATGGCACGACCATAAATAACTGAATATATTTATGATCATGAAAAAATTATGTTCATGCATACGTCGATAAAATTACATCACCTAATTATTATACACCCTCTATACATTTGTGCACTGTTTTGTAAAGTATATCGTTTTTAGCTCCAAATAAAGAATTAACTGTGCTCGGGTAAATATTTTCCTATTTTACCGTTTTTCGCTGGGCCTCGAGTACGACATTTTAACCTTACTTTCTAGCTGTAAGATTTTCGCAAATTCTGAAAATACGCAACATTGATTCGGTTTTGTTCCATTAATCTATATTAAAATAGACAGGACGTTTGTCAGGCAGGACGTACATTTGATGCTCTGTATACTCTTAAATTTTTTGTTAATAAGTATTGTTACGGCAATAAAATGTCTAAAGCAATAACTCAGAATCGAAACGAATCAGAATTGAACGGTAAACGAGACGAAATTAGCAGATCTACAGAAGAATTAAACAGCATAGAGGGAGATCTAAGCCTAACTGAATCCGAATTCAACCAGAACAATTTGCTTGTTAATCTCACGAAGCCATCAAGTGATAGCGAACTAATTGAGAGCAGCATTTTAATGATAGCCAATGGCAATTTGAAATGGCAAAAGAATTTCGAAGAGCTTCGTCTAGCTGTTGACCGACTACAACTACAATCTAGTAAAGGGTGGACAAGCCCGGGAGGTTACTGTAAACTGTTCGAAAGCGG